TTTATCTGCTTCAATTTTTATCCTACTTGTTTTAATCGCGACTTGAGCGCTCACATTTGGCTCGTTCGTGTGCAGCGTGACGGTGAGCGTGCTATTCTCACCCAGGCTTATTTTCTTCCATTCAGATTTGTTGAATTACGCTCACAGTAACACTTGGCTCTTGTTTTCAAGTTGTTTCGAGATCACTTTGAAGTTTGTACAGTTTTTATTTGCTTGTTCGATCGTTTATTATTGCAGTACCGTAGAAGCTTGCTGGATTGTTCGTTTTATTGACGTTTTAGGATCCAATTTCGGCTACGCGTTGCTCGTTGATCTATTCGGGAGTTACACCCCCACCATTTCTTACCCATTCTGTCAGCTCCGTAGGTGGTAAACCCTACCGATCTAATGTGTTTGTCATTTGTCCAGTCCTTCAACCGTGTTTCCGTTAGGGTAATAAAATACAATCCAGCAGCTGCAACCTCCATCTCCCTCCACTTGTTGCCGATACTGCGGACATTGCTATACCGTATGATGAGGCAACTAGGCCCTATATTTGAGCGGTAAGAAAGGGTTCGTAAACATGAGCTTCACGGTCGAGTGATGACCCCGCTTTTTGTCCGTCGTTCCGCGGGGGTTCACAGTTGTTGCCACTGCGATTTGTGCCCTTCACGGTGTGGTGCAACCTAGCGGTGATCTTTGGAGGGTAGGACTTAGGTCATTCTTTTGCAAGCGTATCACAGGTGATACTAGATCCTGACGCCGACAACTTCCCGCTTCTGTCGGTCTGCAGTATGTGAGGTTTGTACTGCCTGTGCCATTCTCACACAAATTATCCGGTTCCACCCATACACGGGAATTTGTGCTAGCGTGAATCTTTATTGACGCAGCCAAGAATATATCCCTATACCTCGGGTCACTGAATTCGACAAGGACGGGTCTCTCATTCGCTTTTTTATTAGCTTCCTCGTGTTTTCACCTTCCCAGCCACAGCACCCTTTTTGCCATGGCGTGAGCAGGGACATCAACCAACCTCAGCACATCAACCACTCTCTGCCGGAGTTCCCGTGCTCTTTGATGAGTAGATCTGCAGAATGGCTCAGGGATGCTCTTTATAACCACATTGCGGTTAAGTCCCTTAGCCGGTTCGACCAAGCTGTCCAATGTTTCTAC